AGCATGGGTGTTGGCCCGTCGACAGTGGCGGCGGCGCGCGTTCAGAGCAGTGCGCGCGCACGAGCCGGGTGGGGGGTGCGTGGTACCAGCACGGCGTTCCCCGCTGCTGCAGCCGACTGTGCAGGGAGCGCACGAGCCGGGCGGGGCACGTGCGGTAACGGCACGGCGCCTCCCCGCTGCTGCAGCTGACTGTGCAGCGAGCACACGCGATCCGGGCGGGGCGTGTGATGGAAGTGTCTAGGGTGGCGCGCTGTGCGGTGCTCGCACTGACAGTGCTCGCGCTGACCGGCCGCGGCGTCGCCGTCGGCGGCGGCCCGCATGCGTACGGCGAACTCTTCCAGCTGGGCAAGGATGCCTATCTGAGGAGGACTACCAGTCGTGCGTGAACCTGTTTGCTGGAGGCGCTGCAGAGCCAGCGAGCGTACGAGCAGCTGCTGCTGGACTGCCGCGACCGGTGCCGGGAGGAGGCCGGCCGGGAGACGCTCATGTTAGACGACCAGCAGCCGGACGAGCTGCGCGTATTCGAGCGGCTCATCCGCCAGACCCGCTGCCTGGTGCAGTGTCAGCGGCAGCGGCTCGGCAACCACCTGCAGGAGTTCTACGACTCGGCCTGGGCCGACGAGGAGTTCCGCACCCGCAAGCCTTACGAGTACCTGCAGCTTTGCTACTACAAGGCAGGTGCAACTCTCGGGTCTAGCATGGAACGTGCACCCCGCTTACCCGGTCGGTTCGTGAAGAACGCGCTGGGATGTCGAGCAGTGGGACAATGTGTCGGAGTTTGTGTCACGCAGAATCACTGGCCACGCAAAATCATTCATTGAATCACGCACAAACGTGTCCTGAAGATTTTCGGTCCCTGTCTGTGGCATCATCCGCCCCGTGGGCTAGAAACGCCCCCGTCTCGTCAGTGCAGTCAGCCGGCTGGCGTCATCCTGCCGCGCCGGCGCACGTGGGCCACATCTGGCTGGCCGCCGCGGGAGCGACGTGTCTGCAGCCTGCACCGCCGCGCTTGCCTGCCCCCGCCCCCGTCCCGCCCGCGGTGGGGAGGCCAGGGCACGGTGGCGGTCATCTGTTTATTTCCGTGGCGGGCAGGCGGAGCGAGCGGGCCGCCCGCGGGACATGACACCGGCGGCCGACGGCCTGGAAGGCCAGGACCCGCCGACTGTGTGCACAGCTGAAACAGGCGCGTAGCCGACGTTCCCCTCAGGCTGAGTGGCAAATGTCGAATTTTGTCCGACCTCCTGCGAAATTGAACCGATTCCCTGCAAACAACCCAATAGTAGGCGTAGGCCTCTTGGCTCAAGGGGCACGCTCCCGCCCCCCCCCCCCCCTACGTCGTGTCTGTGGTGAGACTGGACTGAAATGGACGGATTGAGCCCGGAAGCCCCCAAAGGCCGGAAGACGCGTGTTGAGCGTGTTTTTTTTCGCCGGACGAGCGAAACTTTTGTTGATGAAGATTTAGTCGGAACCTTTTCATTGGACATATTTCTCGGTTACAGTGCCACGCTGAGCATCGCTTGTTGCATGAACTCTGACCCCAAAAGTCTGGCCGTGAGGTCCCATTTAGGCTGCAGAGCACTATGGCGAAAGCTTAACAGGAAGGAGGTGCAGTTAAGTCTGGTCTATTACACGGTGTACGTAGCTGATAAAATCACTGACGTCGCACCCTGCCGGCGGACTGCAGCTTGAAAACCCGTGAGACACCAGGCAACAAATCCCGAACCAGCCCCTGTCGCACGTCAGGGACGCCTTTAAGGCCTCTCATCCCCCTGCGTACGACTCATTGTCAGCTCAGCCGGGGCCCTGGCCCGGGGACCGGAACACCGAGTCTCCGTTGCGCCCGGTCTGCAGGCCGATGGTCGGCGAGGCGGCCCCTGCACGCCGCGCGGGTCAGCCGGAGACGGCCCTCCAGCCGGTGCCCGGGTGGACACGTGAATCAGAGGGCAGGATTCGCAAAGCTCACAGCACTAGCAGCAGAGCATGCAACTGGCCACACATACGCTGCGGAACCACACGTGTGTGGATGGGTGCTGGAAGACCGGGCGAACTGAGATGCTGACACATGCTGTTCTGGTGCTATTCGAAATCATGGCATGTGCTACCGACATTCAGCAGGGCGTCTCACCAGTCGGTGATGTGTGTGTGTGTGCGTGCGTGCGTGCGTGCGTGCGTGCGTGCGTGCGTGCGTGCGTGCGTGCGTGCGTGCGTGCGTGCGTGCGTGCGTGCGCGCGCTGCGCGCGCGCGCGCTGCGCGTGTGTGTGTGTGTGGTGTGTGTGTGTGTGGTGTGTGTGTGTGGTGTGTGTGTGTGTGTGTGTGTGTGTGTGTGTGTGTGTGGTGCGCACGTAACGCTGATCTATTATGTATAGGCAGCTACCTCCGTAGCACGCACCTGTGTACACAGCTACCTCCATAGCACGCAACTGTGAACACAGCTACCTCCATAACACGCACATCTGTACACAGCTACCTTTGTGACACGGATCTGTGCTGTTCAAAACATTGCGACGTGCTGAAACTGGTATGAACGTGCGCTACACACGGCGGCCAGGCAATATAGCTAGGTATCAATGGACAAAGACAACCCCAATGGAAGTTCGTTGAAGTGCGTGGCCTTGAAGTTAAGCCCCGTTAATTATGCGTGCAACTATGAGTGCCTGTTATTCGAATGGTGGTCCTACACACAACAATGCGTATTAGTGGCATCTCTGAACGGTCTTAGCCGATGATCCGTGTTGGATGGCGACCAAGAGCGAGTCGTGACTGCTCCTGTGCGACTTCAGCCGCACACTCGTGCTGTTGATTCGTTATTATCGTGTCGTCTTCTTTTACCGAAAGCCGCTATAACAAGTGGTTGGTCCAAGAGCATGGGCTCCTCAAGAAGTCATTATGCTTTCGCACGAAAGAGAAGAGGCATCGCAGCCATGTGACCATGCTATTTGACAAAACAAGACGTTGTAGTACGCGAGAGGTGGACCACGGAACACATCGGATACACAACGGTTCTGCCCCATGTCTTTTCATGTCGTATAAGTAGCGTCTCTGTCTTATTCATGTCGTGTCATGTGTTTCAGACCGGCGAGGTACAGAAAGCGGCCGATGCGGTGTTCACTGTTCTTCAGCACTCTCCGAATAGCGAGATCATGCGCGAGAACTTTAAGTACTATACCACCATGGACGAGGTTGACAACGCCAACATCGTCAGCATGGAGAGACAGGTTGGTTACAGTTTCCCCACTCCGTTGAAGCAACCACGATGAAACGTGAAATGTGTGTGTGTGTGTGTGTGTGTGTGTGTGTGTGTGTGTGTGTGTGTGTGTGTGTGTGTGCGTGCGTGCGTGCGTGCGTGCGTGCGTGCGTGCGTGCGCGTGTGCGTGCGTGCGTGCGTGCGTGCGTGCGTGTGTGTGTGTGTGTGTGTGTGTGTGTGTGTGTGTGTGTGTGTGGTGTGTGTGTGTGTGTGTGTGTGTGTGTGTGTGTGTGTGTGTGTGTGTGTAGACAAAACATTTTTACTGCTACTCATGTTTCCATTTCCGACACTGTGTCGTGGCTCGGGTGTCGTCCAGGACCGCGATATACGGGAACGAGCGCGACACTAACAATTGTTCAGTTTTGGCAATATCTATGGAGTCTCCATCACGCGTCAAAAAAGGAAAGAAAACAGATACTCAGGATGGTAGGCACTGCGAGTTTGCAAACCCCTGGCGTCGCGTTTTGTGCTTGCCGAGCACAGTGCGGCGTTGGCCATCGTCCAGGTTCCGTCTCGGTCTGACCGTGGCTCGCACGTGCCTCCAGGAGCACACAGAGCTGTACCTACGGGGCAACGACGCCTACGAGTCGGGCCGCTTCGAGCAGGTGGTGCGCTTCATGGAGGATGCGCTCGACAGCTATCTGGAGGCCGAACAGCGCTGCCGCACGCTTTGCGAGCGCCACTTCCCGCAGGGCTTCAATCCCGACTTCGTGGCCAACGTGGCCAGTGAGTGGGCGCTGAGGGAGCAGAGGGATGGAAATGGCTGGGGACGGCGGCTCTGGGCTGGTGGTGGCGGTGACGAAGAGATGGTGGGGTTGGGGAGAGGGACGACCAGCAAGGCAGCGATGTAGGAACCGGGAGTCATTGGTACCTCATGATAGGGGGGGGGGGGGGGCCCCAAGTTTTGTATCACCTGCCAGTTGGTTCTCCAGTTCTGGAAAACAGTTAACTAGCCCTTGGCGCTGCACAGTAAATGCAACCATTTTGAAGGTTTTTATCCACATTTCAACTTTTCATGAGTTATGAATTTCATGAGCTATGAGTGGTAGAGTGGACGCTCGTTCTCCGGGAAGCACGGGCTGGCCGTCTTTTTTAAACTTGATCTCATTCTCATCCACTGTTAAGCACTAATGAAGCCCGTTATCTCTTTTCGGGAAAGGGGTCCTTTCTGGGAAAGGGGCCCGGTGGGTGCAACACTAAGGGGCACACTAGCGCGCCCGGTCAAGGCCTGAAAGGCTATCCCATCCCAGCGCGGGCTGCCTACCGTCTACCATTCTAGGGACACGGGGCGGGGTTTCCTGTTCGATCTGGATGCATCATACACTGGTCACTGGTCCCTTCCCCGACGCGAGACGCCCTCTGGTCTGGGCAGTAGGCTGCAGATCGATGCAGGAGCCCTCATTGACGCAACAAGATCTCTTAGCGCCGCAGGTGGCCCAAAAAATTGGCACAGAGACTCCAGTTCGGCTTGACGGGACCTTGGCTGAAATGGGGTGGAGCGCCCCCTATTTGTGCTGGAGGTCCTGGCTGAGACAGGGCCCTTTCGCTGCCTCATTATGTCCTCTTATTATAAGCTTGTATGTAATATTTCATTGTCAGAGTGCCTCGACCTGCGCAAGGGACCCTCTGGCGTTCGGGTCTAGTCCTCGTGCAGCAAATGTTCCCCAAGCCGACTCGGGAGTCCGGGACTCCTAGCTGACGCAGGGGCCCCTGTAAGGCACTGTGAGTCACTGACTGGCAAAGGGTCCCTCATTTTTGCACGAGCCCCAATAAAGGTAAGTCGCGTGCCCCGGTCTTGTCCCTGGTTGGAAATGAGTCCCCAGGGTTGAGATGGCCCCAGAGTCGCGTGTTTGGTGTTAGTAGTTTCTGGCCGCAATAGGGGCCTGCACTGTCCCGGCGGTCTCCTATCGGTGTAAGAAGCCCTCTGACAAGTCAGGTCACGGCCCTATGGTTAGGAGTCCTAAATGTGACCTACAGCCAGCTCTTCAGGCCGCTCATTCTTTCAATTGAGCCTTTGATCGTCGATCCCGAAGTGCCCGTCGGGTTCCTCTTCTAGCTCCCTCGAACACTACCCCTTGGCCCACTCGGAAACCCTTCCCAACACAACATCCTGTTAGGCACTGTGGGACCCCTAGCCGAACCAGGGCCTCCCACTGACTCAGGGGACTTGACCGACGTAGATCGCGGGATCCAGTTTTGTTCCCGCTTGGGTAATGGGCTGTGAGGCCCAGACCGGCGCCGAGCCGACTGTTCGGTACTGGTGGTGACCGGCTGACATAGGTGCCCGCATCGACTCAGGGGCTCCAACCGGTGCAAAGGGCCACCTGACTAGCATTTGAGGGTCAGGCCCCTATGGCCAAGAACCCTAGTGCTACCTATGGCCAGCCCCTCGGACCCTTATCGTCGGTCCTGAGGGGCCTTTCGGCGCCTCGGTACCAAAGGGGGGAGGGGGGAGGGACAGTGCCTCCTGTGTCTCCCCCGTGCCTGTGACACCGTGTGCACCCGATTTCCGTGTTTGCCTTGCCATGCTATGAACAACATTTTACTAACTTATCACCTTATGAAGACAGCTCACCATAAAAAGGAAGATGCCAGGCAAAATGGGAAATGCGTCGCAGGTTTCGTGTTCGATACTTGGAGCCCGACAGTGGGCCAAAAGCTTTCACTTGCGTGATTTAAGTCCTGTGTGGCTGTTTTCAGACCATTTCGCGTACGTGCTACGATGCAAGATACGATGCCAGGACCAGCTGTCTAAAGTGAACGGGAATCAGCTGACAGACTACCTCGAGTCCCACTTCCACTATCTTCAGTTCGCCTACTTCAAGCGTGAGTCGGCGTCTTATCGGGACTTAGAACGAGAGGCGTGAAGTCAACACTCGCGCTTGTGAATCGCTGGAATGTGGCGCCATGGCAATGTGAAGTGTGAGAACATGTTGGCGATGAACGTGCCTCACGTTAGCTGAGGGAGGATTGTTCGAAAGATCTATTGATGATCCATGATATGGACTCGCGACATGACGAACTTCTCGTGTGTGATTTCGTTATGAGTTTCTCTCGAGTGGGATTAGTAGTAAAGGAAGAACATCATTTCTGGTTAACATTCATATTTTAAGCCTCAGCAACAGAATACGCTACATCGAGACAGCCTTAGCAGTAAGTGCGCTTCACATTGGACCATTGTTTTTTTCAGAAAATCGTTTACCCGAGGCGTGTAGCAGCGTGGCCAGCTACCTACTGTTCAGGCCAGAGGACGAAGACATGCTGGGCAACAAGCGGCTCTACCTAAAGGAGGACGGAGTGGACGAAAGCTTTTCGTCCCCAGACCGGTGAGCTATGGCGAGCAGCAATCTATCCCAAAGGAAGTACGTACCGCGGGGGCGCTTGGGGACAAGCAATCGTCATTGTGATGTCAACAACTGGGAACAATCATCACTGGCTTCTTGAAGAAAAAAATTCCGTTTAGTCTCCTGGATTAGATCACGAGAGAGAGAGAGAGAGAGAGAGAGAGAGAGAGAGAGAGAGAGAGAGAGAGAGAGAGAGAGAGAGAGAGAGAGAGAGAGAGAGAGAGAGAGAGAGAGAGAGAGAGAGAGAGAGGAGAGAGAGGAGAGAAAGAGAGAGGAGAGAGAGAGAGAGAGAGAGAGAGAAGAAAAGAAAGAAAGAAAGAAAGAGAGAGAAAAGAAGAGAGAGAGAGAAGAGAGAGAGAGAGAGAGAGAGAGAATATATATATATAATAATATATATATATAGATATATATGATGTGTGTGGGTGTGTGTGGTGTGTGTGTGTGTGTGTGTGTGTGTGTGTGTGTGTGTGTGTGTGTGTGTGTGTGTGTGTGTGTGGTGCGTGCGTGCGTGTGTGCGTGCATGCATGCATACATGCGTGCGTGCGTGCGTGCGTGTGTGCGTGCGTGCGTGCGTGTGGGTATGATGGGGCTATGACCATTCAGCCATTGGTAGTGACTGGCATGAGAAAAAGACGAAGAAGTTTGCAGAACACGTAGATTGGGCGAGTTCCACTCTAAACCACCTTCATGTGGGGGATGAGGGCAGCAGAAGGAGGACAACGCAATGGCAACCGAAGTCGTATGACTGCATCTGGTTGGTGAAATAGCCTGGATTGTTAGTTCAATCAGTAGGGTATGGGTGCTGTCAAGTGCGATTCTGATACCTACCGTACTTTGTCAAATGGCGGGCCTAAGGAGTTCTTTCCTAAGATAATACGCTGACTTTCCTCGCGTCCACAGGACATTGTTGAGTTTGCGAAGCGAAGAGAACGGGAAAAGAAGCTGGATCGTTACATCCTGGATAACTTCCGGTTCAGTGACGATGCCAGCAAAAAGAAAGGGGTGAGAAACGCTTCTTTGGCGCGGGAAAGCCTGGTGCTGGTATTTCTATGCATGCTTCGGTGATCTTGCGCTGGTAACCTGGCTGCACTGTGGGCAGGGGCGGCGCAACAGGGGGAGGGGGGACAAATGGGGCCATTGCCCCTCCTCCTCTACCGGCAGGCAGAGGGAAGAGTAAATCCCCCAAAACAAGAAATTGGGAGACCCCATTTCCCCAAACTAAAGGCGTTGTAACGTAACGTAGATTACCAAGGCTCAGATCAAGGACGCCCCTATAAGTGGGCTAGAGAATAAACAATCTGACTCAGATCATTTTCTACATTAAGAGTCCCGTTTTTTGGATTATCAGGTGACCTTTATGAAAAAGTAGGTCATGCTCTAGACCACAAGGCACAATGTTTTGCTATGGTTTTGTTGGCTTGGCTTGGCTTGTTCGCTCTTTGTTGGCTTTGCTGGCTATAAACTACGAGGCCCTGTTGCGGGCTAGGAGGCAATATCTATATTCAGGCCCGCATTTCTGGAGCTGGGGCCCTTTTCATGCATCAGATGGCCGCGGTTCCGAACCGGGATACCCTGTTTTGCGATAGCGTGGCCCCTTGGCTGGATCTGGACGCCCGCCTCGTGAATCAGATGCACCTTGTTCTGGAACGGGAGATACGTTTGTGAATCATAACCTGTTTTAGGCTATCGAGATCATTTTTGCTTGGATAACTTGAAGAACCCCACTCCCCTTTTTAAAATTGTGGACATTTATTTACTTGGATATTATGCAACTGCTTGATAAAGGAGTATATGTCCTCGATGCCCCCCCCCCCCCCCCCACCGCTCCGTGAATAATTAACTGTCCAGGAGCCACCCCCCCCCCCTTGAAGATCCTGTCCCCTTGAAGTCCGTGGCGTCGCCCCAGACTGTGGGGACTTAGCACCGCCAATGCAAAGGTGTGGCCCTGCGAAAAGAAAGATGTAGTTTTTACTGCCCTGTAGCTGGGGTTAGTTGAGCTCGACCCATCTCTGCCGATAGCAGATTAAATAAAAAAAAAACATTATTGGAGCGCCACATGGTTGCAGACTTCGCCCTCTCACCATTCTGTGTGCCAAAAATATGTGCACATATACTACGAATATAAAAAGCCTGTGATATTCACTACACACTACACAAGCGCTCTTGAGTTATCAACCTGCAAACTAAAGTTGTCATCAAATTAAAAGAAAGATCGCAGCACGTTGGCGTTGCAGCACGTCGCTCTTGCTCCGGCGCCAGTTCATGGCGTCATTGTCCAGAACATGCCGCTGCGTCGCTGCGCGGGCCGCCTCAGACTGCAGTCAACATTGACAGTCCGTTCCGGTGCTTTCAGGAGCTGGGCGAATCCTGACTAATGCGGCTGAATATACGGATCTCGTACCAGGTGTAGAGCGGTCCACCGACACGGGGCTGCGGTGGCAGCGCTGGCGGCCGTGTGCGCTCCCTTCCCCGCGGAGGAGGAGACGCTCAGATCAGGCCGCTACTCTGTTACCAGACAGCATCGCCATTGACAACACTGCCGCCACTCGCACCGCCATACCATCCCTATATTCGCTGCTGACGCGTGGTCCGGGCTGTCGCGAACTTCGACGTCCTCCTGCCGCTGTCTGGCCCTCTACAGCTGGGCCGCAGCTCGGAGACACGGTCGTGCTGTCCGGGTTTTTCGCAAAGCATGTGCCGTTTGCTAACGTTTGTCCAACGTGTTGTCCTCCATCGACTGTTGTCCGCTCTTTGCGCCAGTTTGCGTCGTTGCAGGTGCATCGTTGTCTACGCAGTTCTTGGGCGCGGTTGAGCAAGGGTGCATGCTGACAGTATATAACCTCTTGACGCCGCTTTGTCAGCATACCAGGCATTTATCTTAGGAGTATTTTGTGACATTGTAAGTCAGTGTATCGCCCGGGCGTTCGGTTAGGGTGCAGCGACACTGCGTCTAAAAAGGGTTTGAGAAACCCTGGAAAGACACGCGATAAATGGTACGCACGGCGTATATTTTTATCTTGGCTGACCACATTCTCACCATATGCAAATGCATCTTTCCACCGGATCAGTGTTGTACGACGTCTAAAAAATTGTAAGACATGATGCGATTCAAACTGACACGGAACAGATGAGTTTATGCCTATTGTGCAGTGTTACTGAATGGACGCTTGAGAAACACTTGTGAACAGCTGATTAATACAATTTAGAAGTGTTCATGAGGAGTCACTGGAGATGATGCCGTTGTCATGCATCTCGTCACACAGCGGAGATTGCTGCCACATATAGTATATGTTTGCGTTAAGCCGAGTGTGCCTAGTCAAGTTAGGAATTTTGACTGTGCGCATAGGATGGTATGGAATTTTGATTTACAAATTTTGGTGTCGCTGGTTTCTACAAATTTGCCTCCACTGACGACATAATGCTGTAGCCCCAAATTTTATTTGGTTTGTATGGAAGAACAAAGTTATCCGGTAGCCCCCAAGCAACGTTCGCTACCTAACACGTCGACATCATTGGGAAGGTATCGTTAACTCTGCTTAATGGCTTTTCGAGGATGTCGATTATCAGCGCTGACAGCAGCTTGCGAACGGGGGATGGCGGCGATTATGTTGTTTTTTGTTTACAATCAGCTGAGGGTTGCGAGTGTACGAGTTTAGACGTATGGCAAGGCTGGTCAGTTGATACACACCAATTCATGTCGGCCTACTATATACTTAGATGAGGAACAAGTATTGTGTCGCGTTAATCGGCTGCACCAGGCTCGAGGAAAATCTGATTGCTCTTCGTTGCTTACCAACCAAAACAATGGCCGAGTTTCTAGCGCACAGTTACTCGCAACATAGAAGCCAGCGTGTTCGTCCTTTCCTGCCCGCTGATTGGTTTATCTTTCAGGATTGTTCTTGTTCACGCAGAGCCATCAATGGGATCGATAAAAATGAATAAACAAAAACTGTTGCAAGACCCAAATGCACATTTAGCAACCAAAATGAACCATACATAATTCCAAATTCCCCCTAGGCGTGTTTTGAGAAAGCCGAAAACTTTGGACACACTCCCTTTAAAGGCAGCGGTCCCTGTTTGTATAGTGCTTTGAGCTGAAATGGCCACCTTGAAGATCATTTAGGTCAGTTCAGAGCCCTGCTATTCTTAAGACTTAAAACTCTTCAGTTGTTGAGCTACACTCATTCAAAGATGTGAAGACTATTTTGTGCCGACTATTTCAAGGTTACCAAGGCATTCATGATGTCATGATAACACCATTTACATCCTGCCATTTCACTGGCCATGCAGTATTCAAGGTCCATAAAGCTAGAATTGTCGAGTTGTTCATATCCGGCGTGTGTAAGCACGATTTTCAGATGTGGTAACCGTTCATTGCATAGGCGTTAGAATGTTTCAGAACGTGAGGGCCAAGCTCAGGGCGTACTTCAGGAACTTCTTCTGGTAATCAAGCCCGATGGCCGGGGGTAGGTGTAGAAATGGAGGTTATTATCGCTCTTTATTCAAATGTCATAGCTGCTATGCTAGATATGCATCTAGAGCTGCTTCTCACTAGTGCACAATCTTGCCCTTTCGACTCATCTATGTCATCCGGCAAATAAGGCTATTCAGATTCCCAAGATTATGCGGCCATTTCAGTATGGGGAGGCGAAACTTCACGAGCGGATAGACGTTTTGGGGCATTGATTAGCATCTGCCTCCACAGGGTGGATACCAAAATACGGCCTGAAGTTAGGCTGGTGAGCATATTGAACGTGAATCGATGGCTCACAGTGCAAGACTTATCACAGCATTTTAGTCGGAAGCAAATTCGGAAGCTTGAAACTGCCAAAGCAACGTGACAAAAGCCATAAACTGAAAATTATTTAAAAACCAAGCTACAGAATGAAAGACCTATCATATATTCCTTATCTGGGCTCTGCTTCCGTCCGCCGTCGGCGGCCACTACCCTGGCCCGGCTGTCTCCCGCATGAACGACTGCGAACTGATCGTATGGCTGCTTTGTTGCATATTTCTGGAACAGCATTGCTGCTAAATCGTGTGTAAAACATATGGTGGACAACTGCAACAATATCTTTTTCCCAGTTGTCTTCCTTTACACCACACCACCCCAGAAAAAGCCCCCTGCGAAGCTGCCTGTTTTAGGTATGAATTGGTCCAACGGATATTTAATTTCCACCATGCAACGCAGGCAACTTGATCTGCCTTTGTATAAAAGCGGGGACGTAACCAGAGTCTTGCCAAGGGGGACACAGAGTTGGCAAAGGGCCCTCTTATGGTAACCCCCCAAAATCCTTAGATATAGTTTAGTTGTTAACAAGGGATACAGTTTTCTTCGTTTTGTTCTTATTTTTACCTTACAACCAGAACAGAAACCCCAGCTACCATGAGATCAATTCTGTTTGCATTTGGAAGTCCATATGTACCCTGCAAACATCATGCGCCAAACGACCGCATGAAATAAATTACTGACGCCCTTGATTTACAATAGTTAAGTGGACTTTTTCAAAACCGATACAAATCAGAAGCTTTGTCAAAATTGTTTATTTGGATTCCACAGACATTAAAGACATCGTGAGGGTAGATTGTGGATCGCCATGTTTGATCGAAATTTGGAGATGAAACTTTGATCGAAGATTGAGTGGTCAACAAAGTGTTTGGCACGGCCAAGCCATATCAATACACTTGTTAAGTCACATGCCAAGGTGGATGAAAATAGTGACGCCTCTGAAGTAATTCCCTTTAGACACTCAAATCGATTAGTGACACAGGCTATGTAACGAAGTTTTGAGCATGCGCAATCGCAAATCTTGGCAATCAGAACCTCGACGCCAGGCGTTGCAGTCTCCGAATGCCGCGCAGTGTCGGTCTAGTAGCTAACGCTGCGATGTGGTTAATGGGTGGACGAAAATGATGACGCTTCTGAAAGAAGTACCTATGAGCGCTTCATACATTAAATCTTGAATATGGAAGGCAGTCTGGGCCCATATTTCACGTGTGCAATTTGTAAACTAATGATAGGAATGAATTGGCCTTCAAACCACCTCAAAGTGGGGCTGCAGTCTGGAGGTGGACGTTTAAGAGTTTTTTATTTTATTATTTTGTGTTTATTTTTCGTGTTCCTGTAACTATTAATCTGTCCTGAAGAGAGCTCAATACGTTGCCCGCGTCTGGTGGCACTTGCAGTGGCCGACGCCGTTCGGCTTTACGGCAGCTGCAACCCAGGCCATCGCTGTCCTTGCCCTCGAGGTTGCGGACGGGCATGTTCTCAAATCTTTTGGTGTAATCTGTTTCACTTATCCATTTTGAATAAGTGTACGTTCTCAGATAAATATGGGATTGCCTTTTTTGATTTTTTAAAAAATCATTTCGACACTCTCTATTCAACATTAATGAGACCCCACTCTACTTGATAGAGACCCCTCACTCCTTTCCGAGCAGTGGGCCCCTCGAGCAGAACACCAGGGGCACATTATCATTTTTGGTGAAGGGCTGAAGGGCCATTCTGTCCCATCGCGACGTGCCTTCTGACTATCATTGTGACGACACTCGGCGGGGTCTCCTGGTCGACTCGGAGATCATTAGGAGGATATACCATGTCACATTGTTCCCTTCCCTAACACGGGAAGCCTTCTGACCCGCACATTTGACCCCCAATCAGCACAAGAACCCTCACTGATGCAACAATATCCCTGATCGCCGCAGGTGGTCCAATAATTGTCACATACACCCCAGTTCCATGCTATTCTGTGTTCATCGCAGATATTGAAGACTCTCTGAACGTAGATTGCAGGTCCTGAAATGTTCAAAATTCGGTCAGAGTGGATTACCGATAAAAACTATGTAAAATGGTTGCAGCCCGTAAAGCTGCATATATAGCTCGTAGCTCGTAAATAGCTCGTAAAAAAGCTCGTAAATAAAAAGCTCGTAAGTCGCAGCAACGGGTCTCGACGTCGGGCGTTGCAGTCTCCATAGGCCTCGTGGCGTCGGCTCTGCGCCTGTGGTACTTAGCGATAGCCAATGAGTAATCGAAAAAGATGACAATCCTTGAGGAAGATGGCTGAAACACAAGCGCCGAGCAATGTTTGGTTCAGCACACAGCCAGCTCCGCCGCGGGCAACCTGTCGGGAGATTGCAGAGCTACAAGTGAGTGCTGTCTTACAAATGTTTCAGGACGCAATCAATGACGTATTGAGGAGCATATTTATTAAACATCGAAATTGTGTTGTTAAGAGCAATTTTCCACTTAAAAGCATACTAATCGTTATAAGTTAGTTTATTTCACCATACCTGATGCTAACCTCAATATCGTGAAATATGCAACATTCGGTTTCAACGGAAATTCATGGCCTTTAAAGGGAATGTTCCACATTCGAAGATATTAAACCAAGTGTTAGATGTGATGAAATAAGCTCAATTTAAACTATTGATATACTTTTAAGTGGAAAAGACTGCTATATCTGTATGCTCTGTCTGTAGACAACACAATCTCTCCTTTTAGTAGATATGCTTTTCAATACGTCAATTTGATTGCGTTTTTGAAAGTGATGTATGACGTCGAGGTGCTGCCAAACTAGGCGTGCGAAATTGCCACCCTAGCACTCACAGGTAGTACTTCAACTTATTGAAAGATGGCAGTGGCGTTACTGGAAGTGTTCACTGAGCCATATATCGTTATGTACTGGTTTTTACCTTGTCTCGTGGTGTTCTTGCATTTTTATTCGTGCATTTAAGATGTTAACTTATCTTTACATGCTTGGTTATCGCAAGGGGAAGATTCCTCAGGCGCTTGCAGCCATTTCCCGATAATATGCTTCTTGGCCTTGAATGTTGCATCGCCTATAGGGTGACAGGATTTGGATGAAGTTGGTGTGGCGTCATGCATGCCTGAATGGCCTTGTAATATTCTGCACAAAAATAGTCTGCAAAGCTTTGCGGGCGTGTAACTCAGAAGCTGGGGTGTTGTAGGTTTGTAGAACTAAGAACCTTACATTAGATCCCAGGACTGTGAACTGCACCGAATGATCTTTGAAATGTCTGTTTCAGTTCAAAACCCCATACAAATGTGGAAGGCTCACTCAAGTTATACTGCATTTGCAAAGCCATGACTGCCAGGCAGTGGAGCATTTAGCGTCAGGGGCAGTATTTGGAGCTGTTCACCGGACAGCACAAAGTGCTTCATCCACTTATTGCCTGTGCCGCATGTGCCGGGGCTTGTTACGAAAGTACCTAATCGGAGCAGCTACCACAACTGTGAGCGTTTCTCAGTCGAAATGAAAGAGAATCTTCGGGTCTGCACGTAGCATCTTAGGCATGCTTTCTATATGTTTTCAAAATGTTCCCGTCTCTGTCAAAACGGTCACTTCTTGTCAGGCGCTTTGCGTCAAGCGTGCTGTAATACATCGATTGATACTGTACCGTTCGCATTCCATTGAAGCTGCCCACGTCGTACAGCATACATTGGGGCTGCAGCGTCATGGTGTTTCCCTGCCTGCCGGTTTGTGAGAGAAGTTTTCAGTAATGTCCCTGGGAGCAGAGTGAATGGCCAGACCAAAAAACTATCGCGACTCGGGCTGCGGTGAGTCAACTGGATTCTATCTGGACCTAAAACGTAGTCTATTTCTGGCATGGAATTGATCTCCGGTGAGATACAACAAATGCATGGAAAACAAGCTTGGTTCCATGCACCACGCCGCACACTGGACACTCCAGTCTTCACGCATCACAAAGTAACACAATAAACCACCCGCACTGCCAGGCATTCGTCGTGATACACCCATTGCTGACGTTTTTTGTTGCATGTCCGGCTGTGCTGGTGCGTGCTTTTTGGGACAGAAAACTATCGGTGTGGCTGATTTCCCACCGCACATTCCACACACCAACAGCATAGCGCTGGCCACGGAGTGGCGCACGGCCTCGTGAGGCGGCTCTCTCAGCGCAAGAGGACGTTCGGTTCGCTGCCGTGGCCGTGACATGTGCGCGTCTCTCTGCCTGCGCCAACAGGAGACTGGTGCGAGATTACCGCCCAGGACGGACCAGCAGGCCAGCTCGGACAGCCAGCCGACGGCTGACCGCGACGCTCGCGCAGAACCGGCGGCCGATGCGACCGAGGATGTGGAAGCCCGGCATGCCGCAAGCGTAGACCCGGGCCCCATCCGGAATGAGGAGTTAGATTCAGACCCTGAGATCATTCCAGATCCTGACAGCGATCCAGACCACGCGATCACTTCGGACTCAAGCAGCCCGACTGATTTGAACCATGCGGTTAGTACGGAATCCCCTGACAGATCGGATCGGGACAAAAAGCCAAATCCAGAGCCTAGGCCAGCAGTTAGAGATGAACCTGACAGGAAGCTAGACGCAGAGAGCATCGAGTTACGTCCAAAAACTAAGACTAGACATGCCGCTGAGATCAGCCCAGGTCATGAACCAGCTCCAGACCTGGTGACAAGTCAAGCCGACCCTCAGACCAATCCCACCGCTGACACCAGTGCGAAGCGGTCGGCCCGTTTGGTGAACAACCGGTTGCTGGAGCTGCATGACCGGGTGCTGGCCGGTCCGCCGTGGCGCCCACTCGGCGCCTGGCTCGAGAGGACCCACGTGACCAGCGGCCCCGCCGAGCTGCGCGGCGAACATCGGTTTGTGGCCGACGGCATGCTGACGTCACGCGACTGCCGCCGGCTGATCGACATCCTGCAGGTCAGCGATAGTCCGCTCGGTTCATGTTCTAGTTGCACGCGCGGACACAGATCGAGGCTCAGCTGTCTGTCAGATGCAAACGCAAATGACTGTGGCAACAGGCGAAACGAGCAACGTTTTCGGCCAAGGCCAGACACGTGTGAGGATCAGGGGATATGAAAGTTATTGACGCGCACGAGTGTAGTCTTCATTTGTTCTGCACAAGGTATACACGAGGAATAAGCGCTAAGGCAGAATGATCCTGTCAGGCAGGTAGCCATAGTTTTTTCGGAGGAGAACAGGAGGGCGATGTCATGTTTTCTCAACCTCCTGTGACTTTAAACACCATCCCCACGAAATCCATCGATAGCTAACGTAAACGTCTTGACTCGAGCGGGGTAGCATGGCCCACGTGGTCTCTCTTGGTCACGTTACTCCAGTGGTGTTGAAATGCCTCAATAGTTCCAACGAACAGCTAATTGTCTTCCACGTAAACATGAGCCCGCATTAAGAAACTCTCAAATACGTGAGTTTACCCTGGCTCGGGCTTGTATCGATGAATTCTGCTCAAAGCCCTCCTTGTTGTACGTGTAAACGGTTCCGACACACAGCAAGCGGTTTGCAGTGTTCCGCTCTTGCAGGCAGCGGGAGTGGCGGGCGACGGATACCGCCAGAGGGTACCGCACACTCCGTTTGAAGAGTTTCGCGGTCTGTCGTTCGGCCGCCTTGTCGTGGTGAGCTATCCACAGAACCGTTTCGTTTATTGGAATCGCATCGTTCTCATTTTTACGTTCCTCTTTGCCTCATCGCATAATGGCACTAACATACATTGCACTCTGTGAATTTTAAATATTACCTATCAGCAAATACATTTTTAAACTGTCACATTTTATTGAAACAAAATCTGAAATATCCCATTAAAAACTGGGCTTTGCTAGCGCCTTAAGGAAATATTTTGATAAGTGCGATAGCATTAACCTGCTAGTTAAACTAATTATACCCGATGCCGCGTCCACGCTCCACCTGAGCACATCCGAATATGCTACCGCCCCCTCCGGAAACATGTGGTGCCGTCATGATGCCCTCTAAGCAGTGATCGCTGGAACCACGAAAGGCCAGGCCGCACCGCTGACCACGATCCGCTCCGGTCTGACATTTGACCGCGCCCGGCTTCAGAAGGTGGCACGAGACGAGGCGTCGCGGAACAGTCTGCGCTTCCTGATGGACGTGGCGGACGCGGCGAGGCTGTTCGTGGCCCGGCAGTTCGGCGTGGTCGAGCTCCACTCGTCCTACACACACCTGGTGGGCAGGACGTACCTGCCCGGTGAGTGCTGGCCACCAGAAGGTGCCCGCACGCTCTCTGTGCCTTGATGCGCCTTTTTCTCATCACGGCGACCTATCAACAGACCTTTTCGCTTGGTGGTAGCGTGTCACTGCAGCGCGCGACCGAAGCGGCCTCGATTGTCACGTACGAGTGTCTAATTTATTGACAAGTGTGACGGGCTGGGGCAAAAGCGTTACATGGACAGGATGTCGATCCCTCGTAAAAGCCGCACGGGCATGATTCAGGCCACCACATTGTACACTCGTTAGTCAAATAAAAGCAAGGCACCACAATGATTGCTGGGATGTGACAACAGTAAAAGCTCGGCGAACGTAAACGGACACGAAGTCAAAAACCATGAAGTGAGGGGTTAAAGAGTCAAACGTGATGAAGTCAAACGGCAAAAAGTCATGGTAGACATACATGAAATGCATAAAAGTTAAGCAGTAAAGGTCAAAGGAACAACAAATCAAATAGCAGGAACTGAAAAAGATAAGTCATGTGCAAAAAGTCGAATAGGCAGAAATGGAAAAGGATAGCAAGTGAAATGACGAAAAGTGGAATGTTGAATAGTCAAAAGATGAAAGTCAAACATAAAATCATCGGGGGTGAAAGCCAAAAGGCATAAAAACCACATAAATTACAGAGAAAAGGAGAGCTTGTTGCCCTTTGGCCTCTCCAATTACATATAAAACGGTAAAAAGGCAAGCTAAGAACTGCAAAACAAAATGAAACAGGTTCCTGGGATGCCTAAAGTAAACAAGCTAAAATACTCTCTTGCCCATTGGCCGGCAGTACATTCAGGTTAAATCCAGGAACTGAGGCCTTTCCATATCCACAGGAACTGTGCGTCTCAACTGCTTTCAAGCTGGGACTCCTTTAGATGTCAGCATCGCTCCTTGCACGCCTGCAGAGGCACGGGTCCGAAACTAGGGCATATGCAATTTTAGTGGAAGTCCCTGTTCAAGAAACCAGACCGGCGTGAACTAGGTGACCTAGGCATCCAGAGGCCCACTTGACTTCCGTGGAATCCGTGGTCCGTGGAAAACCACATCCATCTCAATATCTGCCCATACAGCTGCGAAGCATTATAACTTCGTTGACCAACTTTATCACAGTTTTTGATGCACAGTAGCTAATTACAAGGCGAACTACTTGTAACAATAACTGTGGCTCTTCACGATTTAAACCAGCCCAATCACAAAAAGCTGTCTCACCAGCAAAAAGTAAGTTTCCAGGTTTTAGTAGGTCCTCGTGTTTAACAGCGCTTTTTGTTTCTTTTAGTGGTCTCCGTGATCCAACAAATATGGTTAACTGTGCCTCCCCAGGGCTCAAAATGACTGAGAAACGTGATATACGTTTTGTTGAAATTGGGGAAGTCGGCATAGTCCTAAGGGGCTGGAATAAAGAATAGTGATAGGGCTGTTGATTGGCTCCCAATTGGCTCTGTTGATGACCGTCGATTGGCTCCCAATCAGTGTTGTGCAATGAACAATGACGTAACAAAAGAGTGTGTCGTATTGAGAATGATGCTTTCTTAACAAAAAAATTGTGTTGTTTTGAACAGTATTTTCCACATAAGAGTGCACCAGTGCATAAGAGAAGTTAGAGTGCATAAGGGTAGTAAAAAATGAGTTTCTTCTATCACATCTGATGATTGCTTCAATATCTTCAAATGTGGAACATTCCCTTTAAGGCAGCCTGAGTATCATGCTGTATCGACCACTGAGGTACCACCGCTGAAACCAATATGCTTTTTGGCAGGTCTGGGACAGAAACGTCCAGCCTCTGATCTGAGCCATCCAATCCACGTGGACAACTGTTTATTATTCGACAACGGAACGTGCTCGCGAGGCAAGGGCGCTTACATTCACCGCCACTACAGTGCCATCCTCTACCTGAACGACAACTTCAAAGGCGGCGAGTTTGTATTCGCCAGGGATCTGATCGATAGAAAGCCAGTGGTGAGTGTCGCTGCACGATCAAACAGTTTTGGACGAGACTGCTAGATTTTAGAAATGTGGTGCCAACCCCTTCGCATCGGCTGTGCATACGTCTCCCCCGTTGTCGCCGCAAAGCATTCCGCCCCAGCGTACCCAGCTCTAGGATGTGGGGTGAATCTTCACGCCCAATCTACAGGCATAGCTGTCCGCCCAGCCGTCGCAGTGCAGCGCCGGTGAGCTGTCCCACTGACCCAGCACCTCCTCGCGGCGGCGCCAGGTGCGCGTGCGCGCGCACTGCGGCAGACTGGTGGGCTTCTCGGCTGGCACGGAAAACCCGCACGGCGTACTGGCCGTCACGGCCGGCACCCGCTACGCCCTGGCCATGTGGTACACTGAGACGGCCGCGCAGCGCGAGGACGAGAAGATGGTCGCCGAGCTGTACCTGCACGACCCCAGCATGGCAGGTGCGAGTCCCGCGGAATGACCCGATCATGACGTGTGTGACCGTGTTGCCTGGTCCGGCTAAATTAGACATGGGTATTATTTCGCGACCGGAGAATGTAGGTCTTACTGCATGAGCCGAGCATGATGGGCACGAATTTCACTACGTGGCCTTCATCACGAAATCTATGTCGTCTCCCTGACGGACAGAGCACGGAGGACGTGGCTAACTACAAAAAAAACAAAAACATTCCCTCCAAGCACGCTTTGCCTTGCTGCGCAGCAAGAGTCCTACTGATATACCTGCCCGCCAAAGTGCTTTTCCGCATCGACCATGCTTGTTAAGAGTATATTCCGAGTAAAATGAGAATATACCGTATCGTATGCGCTGAGTAAGCGCTGCACTGCAGCACTCAAAAGGTAAATGGACAAAAAGAAATGGTGGAGAGGACGAGATATGTTTGCCACGGTAGAGCCCACACCGCCATGGTGCCGTGCCTTTCTTCGATCTCTACTAAAAGCGCGGCGTGTTGTCTTGACTAGGAGAAAACAAGCGGATTTCCGGTCTTGTGAATGTGCACAAATCGCGAAAATCGCAACGCGAATTACTGACCGTTGAGCATCGGTTTCACAAACACAGGCAGCTAGACCTCGCCTTGAGTTACGTCGTGTTCTGGCAGCGGTGAAGAACATGGTTTCCGGACTGGACGCCAAATTCAAGAAGGTGGACAAAATGCTGGGCCACTAGAGATCGCTACTGAAAGAGGCCACGAGGCAACACGGCGGACGTACTGGCCTTCTGTACTGGACGCTGCGTACTGCCCAGACAGGCTGGCTGGCCTGGTATCCCGGCCAGCAGACAGCTTCCTCCTACCGAGGCCGCTGGGCTTCCCTGTGTGGGCAGGCGCGAGCCAAACAACTGTGATCTGTTTATTGAACGGGTTTGAGTTGGTGGAGGGGCGACAGGAAGCGGGAAAATCGATTACGGCTGCCGGCTGTGTGTTTGGGTACAGTGTTCTACGGTTTTCGTCTAAACTTTAGATGACCCCTTCCATTGTTTTCATTCGTCCTATTTGCTACGGATGGTCTTTGGTGTTGTTTAAATATGTGTTTGTTGATTGTTATCTTCACGTATTTTGTTCGTGCTCCAGTTCTGGCATATGATCGTTACGAGCTTCAATATTGTGCCAGGGGTCAGTGGTAGTGTGGTTAACGAACTCGCGAATTTCTCGGAGGAATGCTTTTTTAGTGCCAAGAGTAAACGTCGGCTGTGAGATAGTATAAACCAGGCAAAGGGGAACGACGACATCGCAGACTGGATGAGTGACTAGCTGGTGGCCGGGGCCCTGGTGCTGGTCGCGGCGGAGAGCGGGACATCCGACGGTCGGTTGCCCGCCCACCGGTGGGAGGTGCCACCTAACCCCACCAATCGCGTCAGGGAGATTATCCCACAACTATGCTGGGATCATGGTCCTAAAGTTAGAGTTTTATAAAGTAAAACGTTATCTCACACTGTTCCTCACCCGCATCGCATACAAACCGTAAAATGTGCTAGGATGCTGGGTTACTGCCAGCATCCTAGTATTTTAGTATATTTTACGATGCCATCATTTTGTCCTAGTCATCCAGGGGCGTACTAAAGTTTGGGGGGGGGGGGGCGGGCGTTTCGGGCGGGCGTACGTTTCCGGTATCAGTTTCATATGTGTATTCAAACGCATATGAATAGACGCCGACTGTTAAAAACAGAAATACGTTAATTTCACGACACGTAAAAATACGTTAATTCCAAAGATGCGATTAAAATGATATGCAAGAAACTTCGCCCTGCTATGCCCCAAAATGTTTTTCGTGGAAAATGTTAGCTGTGACAGTCATTGCAAGCTTCTGTACACAGTCATGCATGCAGCAACGACTTAAAATCAAAACCTTGAGCTACGATTGGGCTGATGCTCCCCGTATGTCTACACGGCGCGGTTTCAGAAGGGCTTGTGCTATAGTTGCGCTCTGCGGCGCAGGGCACTGCGCTGATGATCGGTCACCGACCCGCGGTACATATGTTAGCCAGTTCTTCTGCGGACTACCCTGACTGGCCGTAAGAGGCGATTTCCAACGGCCACGTAGAACTGCGGACATCTGGCCACTTTCTGTTGCCAACTGCTGCGCGGCGCCTGGGGAACCGAAGTGTGGGCCAGAGGCCCTTTCACCTGGGGCTGGACTTTGAACCCTACTACACGGGTTGCATTGCACCTCTAAACGAAATTGCGGCTTCGAAACGAATCACCGTGGTATTGTTAAGTACTCGGGTCTGTAAAACCTTTCGCAAGTCTGCGGCCGGCTCTGGGAAATTCCAAAGCGCGGCCAGTATGTAATGCCCTCCGAACATGTCAATTTTGGTTGCAGTGACCAAAAGCTATTCACCACATGTTGACCAGCTTTTATCAACTTCCACGAATCATTATGTTCACAGCTTCGCAGATTAATATAATAAGCAGACTTAAGAAAAAAGGACCGTAGGTTCATTTTCATTCGGACATTCAGGAGCATACTATAAGTCATAAGCCTTAAATACTTTCCAGCTGGCACCTACAGGCCGCAGTTGGGCCAAACTCCACGATCCAACTAGCGAATCTTGTCAACGGACCCTTGTCCCCGGAAGAACTGACGATATTCTTTCTGGAACTAGCGCGTATCATGAGTATTGCAGTCTTCGGAGTACTCCATGTCGCAGTCGGGCGCCTCATTCCCACGTGACCCGGACCCGCTTGCTAACATAGGAACGCTGTTGACACTGCGACTTCTGCTGAGCGAAACGTATAAAAAACATGAGGCTTATAAGGCTGACGAAACCCTTCTGAGGCTTACAACATAGCGGACCGCTGACTATTTGACCTTCCCGCACATTATATGTGTAGGAGGCCTTTTTACAGCTAACTTTTGCATCTGTTCATTGACGTTGGTATTTTTAATGTCACCCGTCACAGCCTGTTAGTTGTGTACCCACGGATAACTGGTCAGACATAACCGTTAGGTTACGTAATAAGTAACCAGCAACTTGAAACGAAGTACCTTACGACGCGCATTCTCTTTTGCAACAAGTACTTATACCTAAGCCAAAAAGCACCCACGCTTGCCTCATGACTTGATGCTTGCGTGTGGGCCAAAGTACTTAAACAGTTGAGATCATCGTTAGATTTGAACTAAGATAAGCGTGCTTCGACTGGAAAAGTCGGGGTGATAATATCGCTGTTTTCATAATGTATACCACAATAAAATGGAACATGGTGCCGGACGACTTTGGAAATCTTACGAACAGATCTACATCTAAACGTTCGTCCGTCAGATGCGTTAGTCAGAGATTTAGCGAGATCGGTTAAGGCATCAATTTACAAATGACGTGCCTTGCCAGTTCGCTGGCAGGGGGCCTCGCCAGACCATGCCATCTTGGCCGACAATTCACTTAACTTTGCACGATTTACGGTTTCTTTGACTGCGACCAAAGTTGTACTCTCAGAAAAGCTCAAAGTGTCAGTGCTGATTCAAAAGCTGGAAGGACCGCAAGCCCCCGTGCCCGCAACTGTCCGGTCAGTTATTCCACCGGCCGTCGTCAGGTCCTCGTCGGTCTTGCTGAAGACCCAGAGACGTTCCCCCAGTGCCCGCAACTGTCCGGTCAGTTATTCCACCGGCCATCGTCAGGTCCTCGTCGGTCTTGCAGAAGACCTAGAGGCGTTCGCCGCACAGCCATGTGCGAATCAGCCTCAAAAGTCCCTGGATACCAGAGACTTTGGAGGGTGTAATATACGGACGCATGACCATGCCCCACAGATCCCCAGGTCTTTACAGTAGCGACAAACACCTGAAGACGGCCAATTAACTAACTGACCGAAACGTAGTGTGCAGTCCGATACAAATGACGAGGACAAAAGTGAGGACGACAGTCTACAGACTGGGCTAAACGCCCATATGCCTTCCGTGGATGGGGAACAAAAGTTGGCTTCAAGACCGATCAGTGACGTCACTGCGAGTTGGACGGGATTCAGATCGCTTCAAATTATTGGGCCCAACCGAAAGTGCCTTGGCTTACATGTGTAGAGCATCGCAGCGTACCATCAAGGTACGTTCGCGAAATTTATGTTGTCCCTAGTTCGTTGCTGGGTGCAAGGAAGTGTATATATATATATATATATATATATACCTATACAAGACGGTTCCCAGCAGTACCTTGTGCCTGATTTTTTTCTATTGAATAAATGGATGTGACACACCTTGTTCTTTCGCTGTTACGGGTTATTATCGTTGTGTGCTACAGTGCTTGGTGGAAGCGCCAGCTCCATAATCTACAGCGCTTGGTTTTCGCATTTGTTGTTTTATTTGATGAGCTAACTCACCGATGTTTGACCACCTAACACCTATCTAAAATGTGTATGTGCATAAAACTGAGCAATACAAACAAGTGCTAATACAAAATCCAATGAAGCCTCTCGAATTCGTACGCAAAACGCTTCAAGAAAATTGCAACGTCGTCAACTGAATTCCGTAACCATGCGGCGCACCAATATCGGGTGGACTAACATCACGTCGTTATTCCCTCACGTAAGACAACGCATCACACACAGCAAACATATTACTCCGAGATCACAACTTGATACGTTTCGTCGGCGGCCAGCTGAAGTCCAGGTCCAGCTCTGGAAAGTCATCGTCGGCAGACTCGAACTGTGAGCAGCCAGCGGCGCTCCCCTGCACACGCCGGCCCGAGGCATCCGGCGTGGCGGCCCGCGCCGGGCGAGCGACCACGTCACCGGATGGCGCCGCGACCCGACCCGGCACCGGCACCGGGACTGGCGCCGGCGCCGGGCTGGGGTCCGCGCTGAACTGGGCCAACTTGCCGAGCGTGCTGGCCGAGAGCGCACCGCCGGCCCGACTCACTGCCGCCGGCCGAGGGCGGCGTGTCCCGTGCGCGCCGGCCCGACTCACTGCCGCCGGCCGGGGGCGACGTGTCCCCACCCGGCGGCCGGCTCCGGTCTCGGTCCGCCCGCCGGCGTCAGCTCGGCGCTAATCCTCCCGGCCGCTGCGCCGGTCCGCCTCGACCCGTCTCTGGCGGCTGGCCGGCGGCCGCGCGGCGTGCAGCCCGGCCGAGACCGCGCCGTCGCGCTGCCCGCCCCCCGTCTATGCCGGTTCGCAGCGAGCTCTCGAAATCGTCCAGGTCGTCCACGAAGCCGTCGAGCGAGGTACTGAAGCCGGGCGCGCGCCCGACCTCCGAGCGGGTCAGGCCGAACGCGGCCGCCGGTTTCCTGACGAACTTGAAACGCGATAGCTGCTGGGCGCCGGGGTGGCCCACCGGCGGCTCATCCGTCGAGCCCAGGCTTGTGGCGCCCTCTGCCAGCTCCAGGGTTGACAGATCGCCAATGTCCGTGACCTGCGCCGACCTGCGCCCCGTGGTCGGGCCGGCGGAGCCGCGTCAGCGCTTCGGCCCCGGCCTCGGCCTCAGCCTCGGTCGAGGTCGTGGCGTCGCCGGTGCCGGAGGCCGTCGCCGGCCGCGGACTGTCGCCCGAGCCGCGGCTCCGGCTGGCTGCCAGCCTCGCGCTCAGCGTCGGCCCGATGCGGCAGGTGGGGCGGTCTGCCGCGGTAGACGGCGCTGCACTCGTGAGGATGGCTGAGGCGTCTTCTGAGGCGTCCGAACTGGCGCCCCTCTGATTGTCCGATGACCCCGTCGCAGCCGAAAGGCTACCTAATCGGCGCTCCGCAGCGGCGCCTGCGGGGCTGCCAGGCGCCAAGTTCGGTGGGGTGTCCGGGGAGCCGCGGTCCGCGGTCGGGTCTGGTGGCGGCCCCGGCCCGGGCCGAGACGGCGAGTCCTCTGCCGGGCCGGGCGAGTCCAGTCGCTGCATCTCGTCCAGCGCGGCCAGCTCCTGCTCCAGCAGGTCCTCCATGCCAAGCCGGCCCAGGATCAGCTCGCCTGAGCGGCCAGACAAGGCGTTAGCTCTGGCTGCACCGCAGGACGGCACATCTGACGTCACAGGATCCAGACGAACCAAGACCGCAGGATCCGGATCCACACGACACGGTCCCGACCGGGATCGCGTGCAGGCCGCAGCTGGCACATCGGACGGGCATCGCACATCCCAGTAGACCTCAGCAGACACGGAGTGTTCAGGGGTCCACATCATTGGGACAGACCCACCAGACCTCAGCAGACGCAGACACGGCATGTTCAGGGGGCCCACGTCATCGGACCAGACCCCAGCAGACCTCAGCAGACACGGGGTGCTCAGGGGGTCCACGTCGTCGGACCAGACCCCAGAAGACTTCAGCAGACACGGCATGCTCAGGGGTCCACGTCATCGGACCAGATCCCAATAGACCTCAGCTGACACGGGGTGCTCAGGGGGTCCATGACATTGGGACAGACCCAGCAGACCTCAGCAGGCACGGCATGCTCAGGGGGTCCACGTCATCGGACCAGACCCCAGAAGACCTCAGCAGACACGGCATCCTCAAGGGGTCCACGTCATCGGACCAGACCCCAGAAGACCTCAGCAGACACGGCATGCTCAGGGGGTCCACGTCATTGGAACAAGCGTCAGAAAATGGTGACCTTATCAATATCACTAGTCGCTATCATGCAAAACACGTCACGTTTGCGAGCACGCTCAGGCCTGTCTGTATTCCTTAGCCAACAATGCAAGTGTTGTTTCAGTGATGACGCTTTTCCGTTCACATCATGTTGATCCAGTTCTTAGACCCTGCCCGCGGTATGGTGCGTAATGAACACCACGACCACGATCCTGTAGTGAATTTGATGTGCTCACATGAGGGTATAACCATCACTGGAATTGCAGTATCCTCTCTCGGCTTATTGCAAATGGCCAGAGTTCACACCAAAATAAGTACCGGTGACAGAGACGACACCAAACAACGCAGGATTTAGTCGTGCCGTGTCGACAACCGCGCCGTCCCGTCCTGTCCGTCGACTCACACTGCTGGCGGTACTCGTCGGCCGGGCTGTCCGGGAAGCTGGTCTGCAGGATGGAGCCGACGCCGTCGGGGCCGAGCAGGCCGCCGCCCAGCCCGCCCAGCGACGCCTCCATCAGTGTGACGGCCACCACGGCGTCGCAGAGCTGCGCGCCGCCGTCCGAGCAGCGCAGCCGAGCGTGCGCCTGCGCCAGCCGCAGCAGCGACTCCAGCAGGCGGACGGTGGTGCGCGAGCGGCCGGCCGACTCCTGGCCACGCACCAGCTGAGCGGGCCGCACACAGGCGGCGTCAGCGGCGACTATCAGCACTGAAGCACTAGCGTGGCAAGTCGGGACGAGCTTTCGCACCTCATAGCGGACCGTTCGAGCGGCCTTCGGGCACCAGTGACGTCACCCACATAGTCCATGTCACGGGGGCCAACAGTAGCGTGCTCGTCCTCGGGGTGGGAGGCGGCAGCCCCCTGGCGCCGCCGTCGCCCCAGGCCGGGGCGCCACCTGCCTGGTAGTACCCGCTGCAGCAGGGCGGCCGCCCGCCGGTCCGGCTCGGGCTGCAGGGTGCGCACGTGCGCCAGGTACGCTTGCAGCGTCTCCAGGCTCCAGTCGGCGGCGGCAGCGGTGGGCTCGGCGCCGGCCAGCGGGTCCAGGCCGGACAGAATGTAGCCGGACACCAGTCTGGCGGAGAACCTGAACATCAGCCGGCGCGCACCGGTCGGGTTGTAGCCCAGACATCAGCTGGCGCGTACCGATCAGGTGCGGCCCGTACCTCAGCCGGCGCGTACCGATCAGGTGCGGCCCGTACCTCAGCCGGCGCGCACCGATCAGGTGCGGCCCGTACCTCAGCCGGCGCGCACCGATCGGGTGCAGCCTGGACCTCAGCCAGCGCGTACCGATCAGGAGCAGCCCAGACTTCAGCCGGCGCGTATACAAGGGGTGCGGTCCGTACCTCAGCTGGCGCGTACCGATCGGGTGTAGCCCGGATTTAGGGAAGGAGCAGCCTTTCGGACGGTTTTCATCCAACGTAGGAGCGTGCACACCGCACTCATTTGACTTAAATGAAATGCAAAAAGGTCGGGCAATGACATTTACGCACAGTTGCAATACAACGCACGACCACGCAGGGATGTGTTGGAAACCACATTGTTAGCAGAAAGACAAGGTCTTAACCGGAAATAAGTGAGACGACCCAAGCTGCTCACACTTCAGGGACCAAACACAGACCGGCAGCCAGCTGTGGCTCGCCGTCTCGCACCACAGCAGGCCACGGCGTCCCCGTCGGACGCGCTCACTTGTCCCAGCCGCGGCTGCCGGCATCCTTCAGCACCAGGATGAGGTCGAAGCGGGAGAGCAGCGGCGAGCCCAGCCCGAGCCTCGGTAGCACGTCGCAGCCCGACTCCCAGTCGACTGGGAGGCGCGGGTTTGCCGCCGCCACGATCGAGCAGCGCGTGTTGAGCTTGCACACCATGCCCGCCTGATGGAGGGACGCACGGACACGCAAGTCACGTTACCGGAGTTCAGAGTCGATCTCATACAGCGCTGGGCGTGCACCAGACGGTAAGAACAGCAGCCGTAAATGAGGTACCTCGTTACGACAAAGTGGCGCGGATGAACGGGCACCATGAGAATACGATCGCCACGGGTTCTCCACTGACCTTGGCCACACTGATCGTCTGCTGTTCCATGGCCTCGTGGATGCTGGTCTTGTCGGCCTCTCTCACGGAGTTAAACTCGTCGATACAGCAGACGCCACCGTCAGCCAGGACCAGAGCCCCCGCCTCCAGCTGCCACTCAGCCCCTTCCTGAGGTCACCGACAGCGATACAGCAGACGCCGCCGTCAGCCAGGACCAGAGCTCCCGCCTCCAGCTGCCACTCAGCCCCCTCCTGAGGTCATGGACAGTGATAGAGCAGACGCCGCCGTCAGCCAGGACCATAGCTCCCGCCTCCAGCTGCCACTCAGCCCCCTCCTGGGGGCTGAGGGCAGCACGGACAACACTGCCTCACTCACGGTGCCGGAGCACCGGCCAGCTGGCGCTGTAACACGCTCTGGTATAAATTCAGATATAGTGTGAAGTCGGACATCCGGACACCAAAACGCGGCCGATTCCACTGCATAGCCCGCCAAGGGCGTGACAGACATTGCTGTCCCGGGAAAAGTTGGCAATTTGGACGGCATGCTTCCTTCCCGCGCTATCCTCGAGCACAGCGCGCGTCGGACTGCCCGCGTGGTCCTGGGCCTTGGGTCCTGATCTTGACAGCGGCACAGGTGAGACCTTGGACCTAGCGTCGAAGTTGGCGAGGGTGAGGCCTTGGACCTGACCTTCACGGCGGCGCAGGTGAGACCTTAGACCTGACCTTGACGGCGGCATAGGTGAGGCCTTGGACCTGACCTTAACAGCAGCGCAGATGAGGCTTTGGATCTGACCTTAACGGCAGCGCAGGTGAAGCCTTGCTCCTGACCTTAACGGCAGCGCAGGTGAGACCTTAGACCTAACATCGACGGTGGCGAAGGTGAGGCCTTGGACCTGACCTTCACGGCGGCGCAGGTGAGGCCTTGGACCTGACCTTAACAGCAGCGCAGATGAGGTTTTGGACCTGACCTTAACGGCGGCATAGGTGAGACCTTAGACCTGACACTGACGGGCGGCATAGGTGAGGCCTTGCACCTGGCCTTAACGGCGGCACAGATAAGACCTTGCTCCTGACCTTAACAGCGGCGCAGAGGCCTCGGACCTGACCTTAAACAGCAGCGCAGATGAGGCTTTGGACCTGACCTTAACGGCAGCGCAGGTAAAGCCTTGCTCCTGACCTTAACAGCAGCGCAGGTGAGGCCAGCCGAAGTGGAGCCGATGCCCGTGGTGAGGACGGAGCGCGCGCACAGCCGGGCCGCATACTTCAGCAGCTGCGACTTGCCCGTACCTGCGGACCACGGCGACTGGTCGCTGGGATCCCGCGGTGCACCAGTGACACTAAGCCCAGGATATGTGAAGGTCGGCGGTTCGGAAACTAAGCCCAGAGCAGAGTTATGGCACACCGCGTGTAACAAAGGACTGAGAGAAAAGTGTGCAGCCGTCTGTCAGCTGAGCTTACCGGGGTCTCCGACGAGCAGGAGGTGGGGCTCGCCGCGCGTACTGCTGGTGCCATCGCTCCGTCGCACACCTCCCACCAGGGTCAACGCCACGGCCAGCTTCACGACATAAAGGCCATATATCTGGAGAACACACACACCCACGGTCGGATGCCAGGGTCGGGGCCAACGCGACGTCAAATATGGCGCCATAAATGTAAATAAGCCCATGTTTTATGCATGTTGTATGCCCAATGGGTCTTGTGTGCTTTCTAAGCAAATCTCAGACCACAATTATTGACATGTATATTTAAGATGAGGCTCAACCTATGGGAGAACGTGTCATCTCCGCCAACGTATCGTGCTCGGATGTGCCGCGCTGGGCATGCCGTAATGTCATTCGTAGGCCGATGGCTGCAGTAACAACTTCCACTCACACGAGTCCGCACGTAAACCGACCACCTCACCTCTCGTGCCGAACGGACCTTAGACACTTCGTGTATTCGTAACTGCAGCGAGGCACGGAATAATGAGACTGGTCTGGGCGCAGCCACTCTCCGGCCCTCCCGGCTGGGACATCAGCCAGTACGACTGCGATCACTTGGGGACAGAGACGAGGAGGACCAGTCCCAGGAGCGAATGCAGAGACCATCGGCTCACCTGACAATAGGAGCGGTGTCAGGCATCTGACCCGAGAACAGGATCGGTATCAGGCGTCCGACCCGAGAACAGGGGCGGTATCAGGCGTCCGACCCGAGGACAGAAGCGGCGTCAGGCGTCTAACCCGACAACAGGAGCGGTATCAGACGTCTGACCCGGGAACAGGAGCGGTATCAGACGTCTCACCTGCGAGCAGAAGCGCTGCAGGATGCGGTTGCGGCCGCCCATGGGGTCGTGCCGGTATCTGCGCCAGAACTCGTCGAACTGTCGGCGCCGCTCGTCGGTCAGCAGCAGGCTGGTGCGCTGCTCGCTGTTGACGAACACCCGGTTGGCGTGCAGCGTCATCTCGATGTCGGGCGGCGAGCCGCGCACCGCTGACCGCCACCGCTGACGCACCGTCCCCCTGGCCAGCATATCATCACTCTCAGCACATCTCGATGTCGGGCGGCGAGCCGCGCACCGCTGACCGCCACCGCTGACGCACCGTCCCCCTGGCCAGCATATCATCACTCTCAGCACATCTCGATGTCGGGCGGCGAGCCGCGCACCGCCGACTGCTACCGCTGACGCACTGTCTCCCCTGGCCGGCACGCCAGCACACTCAGCGCACGCGCGCAGACCAACCGCCAGCCCGCAGCGGATCAGCACGGCGGTAAAAGTAGCCTTTGTATGTGCACCTCAGTGTCAGTACATCCAACTCAATGTCAGCATGTGCATCTCAACTAAGTATGTGCATTCCAGCGTCAATGTGGATATTTCGATGTCGGTATGCGCATCTCTGTCAGTATAGGCATGAGCGAATATGACCTGTAACATCGAACCCCGTAGCAACCCAAATCCAAAGTTTAATGAAGGTAAAGAAATCAGCGGTCGCATATCATGCAAGCAGGACATGCCGCGCGAATACCCCCTAAAGGGCCACAGCGGGCAGACTTGTTCCGCTAGCGCTCAAGGCTGGTCGTTTTCCACCGCTGTCTACAGCGCGAGCCCCGCTTCTTCGCTGCAAGCGTGCATGACTCACGTGATGATCACATCGTCCCCAGCCTTGCAGGAGTCCCACCAGATCGTCCTCCAGCACGACACAGAGGCCGCGGGGGATCTTGCCCACATCCAGCTTCTGTACCTGCGCGGGCACCAGATGACCGTTACATTTGCAACTGCCCATGCCGAGATCACGGTTCGCAATACTGCGTCACAGCGGCAGCACGCGTACACGTGCGCCAAATCGGCGCCCTGCTTCACCGGCCCTGTCTGATCGGTTCGGCGCGGCGACACCACGGTCATTTGGCCTGGACAGGCGACCAATCTGACAAGTGCGGTCACTTTTACAAGCAACATCGACTGACTTCCACTTGGTGGCGGGCACGCAAGCCACGTGTCGTGAGCCTCACCTGCTCCTGCAGCCGAATCTCCTGATAATCTCTGGCCTGGTGGTGGCGCCACGCCGACGTCGGGGGCCGAGGCGGGCGCGAAGCCGGCGCCAGCGCGGCAACGGCTTCGGGTTCGGACAGCGAGCGGGCCCGCTCGGACTGGTAGCTCTGCTCGTACTCTGCCTGAGACGACACACCAGGCCGCACCGCACTGGCGGCTTCACCACAACCGACAGGCCAGCAGCCACGCTACCGCACACAATGTATAAGGCGCTGTAGTCCGTTTGAGCTCGCCGTAGTCCGTTTAAGCTATCAGTTCGCGTAATTGAAAGCACATTGGTGCAAAAACCGGAAACTGACGGGCCAGGAGTTGTGATACATCCGAAGCGCATTGCTTGCATACTCCAGCTGATGCAGCCCTTCCCAGCGTTCCCCTCGCGGCTGGGTATTCCCCTCCCTCGCTCTTAAGTGGGGCGGCGTACGTACAGTGACGGTGAACGGGTGCTTGCACTTGTTACAGGTGTAGTACGCCCTGGTCTCGAGCATGTGGGGCAGGCCGGCTCGCACCACCGTTCCCGAAACACACAAACAGCTGGCCCTCGTCCTCGATCCGCGGCACGCACTGCGCTGCAGCTCGGCACAACACCGGTAGCTCTGGGGGGTGAGCATGGCAACGGCGTCAGCGGCGGACGGTGGATTCGACCGACACCCGGCGGCTTGGTCGGTCGGCCAGCTACGCAGCAAGAAGCTGGTCCAGCACACGCCCTTCAGAGACGGTTGACAGACGGAGGCACAGACCGCGGAGCCGAATAAACACCACACACAGAGCCCATCACCGCTGGGTAGAAGAGCCCACCGACATCAGCCAGCGCAACAGGTGGAGGCGGTTGGGCGGTTGACGAGAACGGCTCCCACTGACCGATGAGGCGGACGTGCAAGCTGGTCTTGAGCGTCAGGACCGGTCACGCCGGCGTCCGTCAGCTGGCCGTACAGGTGGCGGGCGGCGCGGACCCAGCGCTCGTTCCAGCGCGGCGCACTTGGACTGCCGCTGGTGCGGCAGTAGATCCGCCAGGCACCGCGCAGCTCTCGCTCAGCGTCAGGAACTGGGGCAGGGAAAAACGGCACTCGCTCAGCCCAGCGTCAGGAGACTGGGGCGGGAAAAACGGCACTCGTTCAGCCCAGCGTCAGGAAACTGGGGCAGGACGCACGGCACTCGCTCAGCTCAGCGTCAGGAAACTGGGACAGGACGCACGGCACTCGCTCGGCTCAGCGTCAGGAAACTGGGGCAGGACGCACGGCACTCGCTCAGCTCAGCGTCAGGAAACTGGGGACAGGACGCACGGCACTCGCTCAGCTCAGCGTCAGGAAACTGGGGCGGGACGCACGGCACTCGCTCAGCTCAGCGTCAGGAAACTGGGGCGGGATGCACGGCATTCGCTCAGCTCAGGCGTCGGGAAACTGGGACAGGACGCAAGGCACTCACTCAGACCAGCATCAGGAAACTGGGACAGGACACAAGGCACTCGCTCAGCTCAGCGTCAGGAAGCTGGGACAGGACACAAGGCACTCGCTCAGCCCAGCATCGTACACTGTGGCAGCATGTGTAGCACTTGCCAATCATTGGGACAATTACACCAAGACATGCATCTCTCCTTCAGCACCATAAAGGTAAGGCATGAGATGCCCATGACACTTGCCCCATGCCACAAAACTAAAGTATGAGGCATGATACTCTTCAGCACAATGCAGGTTTGCTCAGTCAGGTTACAGCAGTGACATACATGGAAATAGGCAACATCAATGCAGCACATCATAGACCCACCATTATGGCAAACATCATGACCTTTGCATACATCTTGAAGCAGTGTGGGATGATGACTGAGACATGTTTGTAATGAGGCATGATGCCCTAAAACAAATCACAAGCCTGTGTAAATCAGGCCAGGCTATAGGTACAAACATCATATGCTTACTTAATATAGACAGGTATGTGCCTGGCTGTATCACCAGTGTCTTTCCAGGGTGTGCTGAATATCTTCTGCATGCTCACTAAGCACATAATGGTAGAACTGGTCCCTAATTTCTTTCAGGTTAACCTTGTGCCTCCATCTGTAAGCAATAGGCATGTCAGGTACATTGACAACTTGGAAGTCAGATTAGCCCCACTGGACTGATATGGAATGCTATAAGGTGAAACAATGCCCACAAAGTTTGAGCTCTAAAATAAAATCACTCACATCCATCAATTTTATATGATTTGATGGGATAGGATTGCTAGAGGACATAGTAGCATTGAGGGCTAGCTGTGGCCCCCTAACACCATCCACTTGCAGCAAGTGTTACTTTGATTTGCACTTAAACATGATGCTCTTTTCTTGTGAGCTCACATAGGCATCAAGTCAGAGCTCTATGTAAGTGTAAGTTGTATCCAAGGCTATCCAACATATTAATAGTTGCATCATAAATTGTTTGAATCATGTTTGTACTGTAAATGAAGCTGCTGGTTTGCAGCAATAGGCAAGAATAAAATAGGATATGATATGAACGGAGAGATATGAACCACTCACATCACAAGGTTCAACACCACTTTCATTCTGTTGCAAAGCAATGATGATGATGATTTGGGGCTTTAGGGCGCATCGACTGCTAAAGGTCATGCAGCACCCATTTTGCAAAGCAACAGACATGGAAGATATCATGGCAACATCACACAGCATACAGCATGTTCTGTTCAAGAATAGCAATGACAAGTTTGCACACTTTGATGCTGTGATTATAAAAACCAGGGCACTGTGCATCAGCAACCAAGCTTAGTGTACCATGCAACCTGCACACAAATAGGTATTTGTTTTTGGCACCTAAATGCATGAAATGTACCATAACATATTTCATCTCGCTGCTTATTGGTAGGAAAAAACATCAGCTTTTCCGACAATTAGCAAAAATTCACTATTAATGGGAGCTTACAATTCAAGCTGCGCGCGCCCGCTGGGTCGTGGACTTTGTCTACAAACTACAGAAATCGGATGGCCTTGGACGGGTCTTCCCAGTCCGCTGGCTTAGTAGGAAGTCGTAGGAAGTATATCTGGTAGATATGCAGGGCAGTAGAATCAAGGGTAATTAAGCGCCACCAATTTGTTTGTGCAAAACTTATGAGGTACATATCCCCATGTGACTTGGATGAAGGGAGCTGGAAAGCGAAAAGTGGTCCAACGAAGCCCCCAAAACACGCTAACAAACAGCGCTCGCCCTTGATTCGACCCGCATTGTTTTCAAAGTTGCGGGACCCTAGCCCAAATGAAGGGAAGTCTACCAAATTTAGAACGCAACTACGCCCTTAGTTCTGCCGTGCAAAGTAAAACATTTGTTTTGCGCGCGTTCCAACAAATGCAGTAATTCGAGACCTTCCCTTTAGTGGCACTATTCCAATTCAACTAGCTGCTAGTTTACCTACCACAGTTTACCTACCTACCACACATGTTTCCTACTAGGCCAGCTGACTGACAATACAAGGCCATCCAATTTTTTGCAGTTTTTGAATAGAAGCGTTGGGTGGGTGGGGGATGGGATACTTTAAGGCCCTGGAAGTAGAGGGCCTGCTGCCCTGTCTTCTAGTGATTCAAGCATCGAAGGCGGTGTCTCCGCCGAGCGAGGGTTTGGTGCCTTGATTTGGTGCGCGTGGAGCAAAACCGCCACCGAAGACGTTGCTGTAGGCCTCTACGCAAACGCCCGAGGCCCAAAGTTCTTGGCGAGAAGTTCCAGTTTCGCTGGTAAGTGCGGTTTAGCAGCCGCAAAGTCTGTTATATCTGTGGCATAC